CTCGCCCGTGGACAGCGGCTTCGTATGGATCGGTGGGAACCTGCTGCTAAGAAGATAAAGAAAAGGAGCGTTGTCTGGAGGGTCAGCCTGGGAACGGACTGGGGAGCTTCACTAATGAGTAAAAATAAATCTTGGCAATTTATTTCCCAGGAGTTGACCAGCAAGGAAAAAAACCCCAAACCCAAAACAAGGAAAGTACTTCAACCAACAAACTGTAGGCGACCTGAACGTGCACAGTTCTTCTCTTGGCATCTTTGGGTAGATCTGGCCGTAACTGAAGGCTTACGTCCACGTTTCCCCAAACCTGCACTAACACACCTAAGAACGTAATTCAAATACACTCGGTTAAGTTAGTACAGTTATTTTATGGCAAACTTCATTTGCGTGCGTCAGCTTAACGTAAGGAATTCCAAAATACTCCATTTAAAATCAGTTCGTGTGTGCCACTGAGGTTTGCACCAACATAATTACAACATGTAAATAGGTCTCTTGTCTTTGGGGTTACTTCTGCCCTTGCTGACCTGTAGGACCAGGGACAAAGCTCGTTTTCCCCTGCCCTTTTCGGGTGGGTTTTAGGAAATGTGCGGTTTTCCTTGTTAAAAATGTAATGTAAAAAATCCTATAAATCCTGTCAGGGACCTGCTGCCTCTGCCATTGGGTTTCCGAACTGCTACAGACGGGGGATTGAAGGTCCTGTGCGGCGCTGTCCTCCTCCGACTGGCTCCCTCCCTACAGAGAAACCGAACTGGGAGTAAAACCAGATGATGTTATTTGGGTACTGACTCAATTTGCGTGGAAATAATGTCCCGTGAGGGCCATGCTAAAACCCGGCGCTCTCACCGACCTGCAGAGCAGCGACATTTTACACCTATATCACGGTTTAGAGCTATTTACAAGTCAGCCAGCGTCCCACTGGGGTAGGAAAATGCTATTAGCCTTTTTTCACGTTAGGCAGTAAAGACAAGTTAAAAGGCATGGAAGGGCTGCAGAAAAGATTCAGCTTCAGACGTGGAAGCAGAAATTAGGATTTCCTGGATCTCGGACCCAGGCAGGATCCCTGCCCATCCCCTAGCTGCTCCGGAGAAGTTCCAACACTTGTTTAAAATCCACATCGAATCATAGAATCATAGAATCATTAAGGTTGCAAGAGACTTTTTCATCGATCGACCTGTCCTGCATGACTCCAAAATTTACCTCCCTAAATGCAGCTGATGCTTTTCTTTCCAATATCGTATTTACAAACGGTCATCCAAATTATAATATGTCACAAATGTGCAATTACCAACATTTAAATATACATAAATCATAAATATAGCACTGTCCTATATCCTAACTGTCCTACATCCTAACTAAGGATAGGTTATTATTTCAGCAAGCAACGTACTACTGCTTATCCAACACTATATAATCATGGCGTGCACAATATGGCACGAAGAACAATGGAGCTTTTATGGGACCCGGGGCGGCCGACCATCTCTGTGGGCACAGGTATGCGATGGAGAAGTCCTGATTTCACCCAAAGTGCCATCCATTTCAGCTTCTTGCAACAAGAGTACATTGTTCCGTGCTCTAATGTGGGCAAGAAAAACAGAGCACTCAATTGTACTTGTCATAATGCACATATAATTTATAGTAATGTCGGTTATTAAAGGATTTCTAGTAATTAACAGCAATGTGCTCTTTCACTGCCTTTCCCCCCCCCCCCTTTTTTTTTTTTTTTGCTGTCACAATAACAAACATTCCTGGGAGATGCTCTGGAACACATCCTATAGGTCTTGGCACAAAAGCTGGAGAGAAGCTTTTGAAAGCCTGCCAGTCTTATCTGACATGGATCTCCCAGGTACTATATAAAGCCAAATCCTCTTGGGCCCAGGAGGACCGTGGGTGGCCGGGAGGGTGCCGGCACCAACCTCTTCCCAAAGCCAAACTGCAGCTGGGGTGGGGGGAGAGGGGCCAGCGCTGCTATTGCATCTATGCCAGCATGGTCGAAGGCATCAGGAGAGCCCAAACCCATAGGCACGGACCGCTGCACTCCAGGTTTTCAGTAAGGAAAAATAATCTCATAATTTTCTGCTTTTTTTTATCTCTAGTATTTTATACTTTTCCAGTCAAAGAGAAGGATGCAGAGGTTAAAACACAAAATGAATAATTGCCATTTAAATAATGTTTTAACAGCTCAATTTATAGATTATTTTAATGCCTTGAAAATGGGGTTGAGACGGGGACCCCGCTGACTTGATGATGAGGGGCAGTGAAGGCTGAGGGACATACTGCACCCCCGTTTCACTACCTGGGAACAGGGGCACAGATCTTACGAGCCCCACCAGAGAAACCACAACAAAACTGCTGCACCAGAGCAAGGGGCTCTGCCAAAAACTAAAATGCCTTATAAAATCAGGCTGGTTTTGCTGGAAGCTGATTTTGAAAGGAACCAGAGAAAAAAAGTTTTGACAACATCAGAAAGTCCCGTTTCCTTTGTTTTAATGACACTGCCGTGATTTTCCAGTTCAAACCGACTTTTCGTTTTACTCTTGGAAATGTTATATTCTGTGCGGTAACACACTGTGATAGGACCTTGGACTGTCTTCAAAATGGAAAAAGCTAAAATCAGAACAAGGCATTCTGATAAATCCAAAGTTAAAAAAGAAATGTTTGAAGAATTTTCCTTTATGGAGAATTTCACAACCGCTGCACTCCATGCTCCCAGACCTCGGCATCTTGAAACCCTTCGTGCAGAGGATGTGATCACACCGCACCGCCTCGACGCGTGCCCCCATCCCGGGTGGGCTGCAGCCACGGCAAAGCCCATCCTGGCTCCTCCGGGCTCGAGTTGTAGCCACCCTTTCCCACCTCTCCTGGGACATACGCAAGGACATGCGTCGGGGGAACGCACGGGTTGTTTCACATCGCCATATGCTGAATTAAGACCTGGGATTTGCTACCTTCACGTGTTTTACTGTTGGCAATAAATGCAGTTTGCAGATGGCTCCGAGATAGCCTGAGGACAGTGGTTTGTGCAGACTGCTCCAAATTGTGTGCGCACGAAAGCAGGGCTTAGCTTGAGCACGCTTAGCTTGAGCACGGTGGATTCACCTGCGGGATGCACAGCTCCCGCCCCGCTGACCTCACGCCCTGAAAGTGGGTTTGCATGTCCCACTGCAGCAGGGCTTGCACACAGAGCCTGCATGCACATGGTAGCATCGCACCCAGAACCTGACCCGCTCGAGGCAACCCTGATGTGTGTGACAATGCACCGCAGTCACCACCAGTGTGGACAGACAGGCTGCCCAGCTGCTGGCAGGGGTGGCAGGCACCCATACGGCTTTTGCCTGCATCCCCATGGGGAGCAGGGCAGCCACACGTCCTCTCCCAGTGAAACTGGGACATCGCTGCACAACCCTCCTCCCTGCCAGGAGATGCCCAGGTCAATGCATTTATATCCTAGCACAGCGATACAGCCGGGACGGTTTTGCACAGGCAAAGTTTGCACTGGCAGCTTTCCTCCAAGTGGGCTGAAAGTTTTGCCATCCAATGACCCCATCCAAATCCCCACCAGATCCGGTGGCACAACAGCGGGTGCTGCATTTGCTGCCGAGGTCCAGCCTGTCCCACAGGACTCGGGGGGTGAACCGGGGTCACGGCAGGCAAATTGCTTAGGGACGAGTTGAAATTAAATATCCACCAAAATTTATCAGAATCAGGAAGGGGACAGGGGAAAAAAGGGACAAAATCTGATAGAAATTTGCCAAATACTGCGTTTCACTGGTCCTGAAATTAATGTTAATGGTTAATGGAAACTCCACAAGGCAAGAGCTGCTGAGTTTCCAGGCTTTTCAAGGCCCTTCCCACGACTATCTGCTGTGGGTGGGGACAAGCTGACTCACAGTTTCCAGGGCTGTAGTAACATTTCAACACCCCAGTGCTCCAGCCTTGGGGACTGATGGCAAAGAGCACATTCCCAGCAGAGTGGTTGGGAAGTTTTTTGACAACATGTTTTTTTGTGTCGGAAAATGTCAGTTTGGCAAAACCAAAACTTTTTTTTTTTTTTTTTTTGGTAGCAAACTACCAGTTTCCACGAAGTGCTGCTTGGAAAGGTTGCCTGGGCTCAAGCCCGGATTTCTAGTCAAACCCACAGAGGTAAAATCATCTCCCAACAGGTCCGCACCGGTGGGTGATGGCACCCATCCATGGTGGTCCCCACACCAGAAGAAGCCCCTTGCTTGGAGCAGGGACATGGACTCTTGCATCCCAGGAGAAGACCTGGCTCTATAGGTGATTGCAGCCCCATTTGTTTAAATCTCTTCTGGGTGGAGCTGGGCCAATTTGTATAAATAATTAAGCAGTTATTCAGGGAGAAAGAGTCCGACTTTAACGCTGGAGATGAGAGCAGCCATCTGAGATACAGGATATTAGGTTCAGTTCCTGGGTCAGGACAAACAGGGATTGAACCACAAGTCAGGCCAGTGCCATGAGTACAGGATTATCCCCTGTGTTGCTGCTTTCATTTTGTAGGAAAACAAACTCAAGCCATCCCAGAAAGTCCTGCTACAATCCAAGGAGAGCACTGGTGTCTTAGGTTTGTAGGACAGAAAGGCTGCCTTCATCCAAACCTAATGCCAGCCTCCACAGCAGAGAAAGGTGTTTTTTCCCCCTTAATAAAAGCTGTATTTCCATCTCTCTCGAGCTGCCCCTCTCCCCGAACACAGCCAGAGGGACCTTGTTTAGTCGCACTGCCTTGCAGTGTCATTTCACATTCAGCCAGAGAGAAATATTCACACACTTTCTCCATTTGAAAAATACAGAACAGCTAGAAATGTATCCTTGCTATGAAGTTTCGTTATTATAGATTCCAGGCAGTGTGAAGTGAAAAGAGAAATTTTGGGGAATATCGCAGAAGGTGCATCTCGCTCCCAGGGAGAAGCTAGCTGGGCTGGACTGGCGGTGGCTTTGCAGCCTGAAGTCATTCGCTGCCAGCCTCAGTGAGGGGAAAGGATGCTGAAGCAGAAAGAGCTTCAGTGGGCGCAGCTTCCCACTGGATCCAATCCACGGAGAAGAAACAGCAGCAAATATCACAGCAATGAACACAGACTTCTTACAATTTCCAAACCATTTGCATCTGCTGTTTCTTCTAGGCTAAACTGTAATTTTTCCAATGAGAGAACAAGCCAAAGGGACACCTTGGCTCTCGTGTCAGTTGTAGGGCACACAGTGAAACATGAGGAAGGAGTAGCATCTTCTCCTGTCTTTCCCAATGGTGCTGAAAATCCCGGCCGAGAAGACCACTTCTCTCTGAGCAGGCTCAAGCAGACACCTTCATAAAATCCAGCATAACCTCAGCAAAGCAGAGCTATCCACACATTGAGAAGGATGAAGAGCTCCACAAAGAGTGCCGAGGCTTCCCTTCACTGGCGTTACAGGGAAGGCAATCGGTGAGTGCGTGCCACTGGCAGCCGGGTATCCCGGGCTCGCCAGCCCATCATCCGGCACATGGCTGCGTCTCCGGCGTGCGGCAGGTCCGACTGGGCAGGCACAAACCAGCCAGGGAAAAAGGAGAAGCCGTTGGACTTGAACTGAACCCAAGCCAAACTTCTTCTGAGGTTCAGCAAATTTCATGTCAATACCTTTTATTCCTCCTCCAGCAGCCAATACATTTCCTGAGTGCAGGCAGCACCACGCCGCTGTCTCCCGCTCAAGCCTGTCCTCTGGCTAGCCAGGCAGCGTCTCAAATTGGGCGAGATCCGATTTATCAGCCAATTCCCGCTGCCTAATCAAAGCCAACTCTAAAACCTCCAGAGTTTCCCTGTACCACCTCCTTACGCTCTCCCTCTTGATCCCATGCAAGCACCGTTAATTTACCTGCACTGTATTTTTTCTTACAACACTCTGGGGAGGCAAGGAATTGCTGTTGACTTTCTTTTGTATTCATCTGGAGGGCTTGTAGCGGAAAGGATCCTTGGAGGCACATCAGTGCCCAGCTCCCACGGAGTCCAGTGGGACACAGAGATCTAATTACCTTTGCTGGTCCAGGGGAAAGTGATTTGCCCAAGGTAATGGGGAGAGTCTGTGCCAGAAAAGGGAACAGAGCTCATGTGAAAGTTGAGCACTAAAAACCTTCTTTGCCCAAAGAGGACTGTTCCTGGGACACAGGAGCTGCTCTGGGTCCCCACCACTCACAGAGCACCTGCGAGCAGCCACGTGCACCCACCAGCCTGGGAGCCCCTGCCCAAAACCATCCCTTTCTTTTCCATTTTTCCCCAGCTGAGCACACTGGATTCAGGCTGACAACTGCTGAGAACTGCTGCTTGCTCAGGAGGTTGGTATCAGCCAAGCGAACACCACTCCCAGGTTTCGATGGGCTTGCCAGTCCTGTGCCCAGTAGCTACAAGAAGGTCTTGTTGGTTGGATGCTTGGTGAAACAGAGCTGATTGATAGTCCCGGTTTGGTCCCTGGTGTCAGCATTGAAATGGCCCATGGGGACAGAACTGTCCTCTGAGGAGGTTCCCCAGCTGTCATGCCCCAAGCCTGCTCCGACCCGGAGCTTCTCTCCAGGATGACCAAGGGCAGAAGTTCCTAAACTGCTCTACACACCCAATGAGCGCTGTGGGACCTACTAATAAAATACAGATGTTACTTCTTCTTAGAGAAGATGGAGGGACTTAGATCACAGCTCTTCTGAATGTGGGTTTCTGAGGACTTCTTGGGGTTGGAAAGCAAAGCTACAATTCCTCAAAGCAACAGGATCTTGTGGCCCTACCTCCACTTTACAGATTCACTAGACAGCTGCAGGACGTGGATCTCCTGACCACAGCACGGCACAGGAGTAAACGACAGACATCATTACTCCTCTGTGCTCTGGAACGAAGCTGCTGATCCAGGGGAAGATCTACCTGCCATCAAACCTTTCAGTGTCTTTCCTGATGCCAATGACAGTGATTTTCTAGGTCCTTTTGAACTGACGGTCTCATAAAATGAGGCATGTGGGTGGAGGGGATGAAGATGTTGACTCCTGAGCCTTCATCTAGTGCTTTATCCAGGACGACATCCTACCTCGTGGTCAGTTATGAGCGACCACTCTCCAATGGATCCTGCAGCAGTGTGAGCACAGTGATCAGCTCCCAGGACTCGCATGAGGAGGTACCGGTGCAAGATGGAGAAGTGAATGGGGAGGAGAAGTCACATTCAGCCAGTCCAAGGATGGTGCAGCCTCTGAGACTTCTGCAGGAGAGAGATGGACATGCTGAGTCCAGCCATCCATCTGCATGAGAGCAGTTTGGGGATTTCTAGGCCCACAGAAACGCATAGCATCTACCTCAGCCTCATTCTTTACTTCCCCAGTTGCAAGCAGAACAGCAGGGCTAGCCATTAAACTCCTCCTGTCCTGGTCTGGCTATAGGAGTCAAGTAATATCACATAAAACAGATGCTCTGTTCAAATAGGAAGGGAATTACAACCGCCCGTGTCCACCAGAGGATACATCTAAAAACCACACCACCCATAACAAACACACAGGAGTTTGTCCTTTTTATCAGCATTTATTCAGCAGCCTGTGGAGACAGTCTGCCTTTCTGGAGCCTTTTCCAGGCAGATAACACCCAGTTCTGAAACTGCCCTTTACTTTTTTTTGGCTTGACTTTGGTGAATTGTCATTTTTGAGCTGGAAAGGGTCTATCCGAATAAGAAAAAGAGTCCAGCGCTGTATGCTGCCACCACGCTGATCTAGCAACAAACTGCATAATATGCCAAGCCCAGTGTCTTTAAAAAAAAAAAAAATTACCCC